AAAAATTGTGTATATTGAGGTAGATGATATTTTGAATCTCCATTTTTAAAAATACAACACATTTTAGATATCTTGGATCTATTGTTAAGAGTGATGGTGAAATAGATGGGGATATTATCAACATAATTCAAGTTGGATGGTTGAAGTACTGGAGGAATGCATTAGGCTTGTTGTGTGATAGAAAAGTCCCCCTCAAACTTATGGGAACATTCTATAAGATGATAGCTAGTGAGACCTATAATGCTTTATGGTGCTGAAAGTTGGCCATTAAAATAGAAATATAATGCTAAGTTAAGTGTTGTAGAGATGGGGATGCTCAAGTGGATGAGTGGCTTTACCCTTAAAGATAGGATACAAAATGATCATATACGTGAAAAGGTTAGAGTAGCTCCAGTAGAAGATAAGATTAGAAAGAGTCACCTTAGATGATTTGATCACATAAAATGGGGGCCTTCCGATGACCCCGTTAAGAAAGAAGCGGTATTAGGTTTGACTTATGTTAAGAAAGGTAGAGGTAGGCCTAAAAAGTCTTGGTTAAAACATATTAGAAATGAACTTTATTTATTAGATTTAAACGAGAATTTGACTTTACAAATATAATTACATTCCCTTCCTAAGGGATCGGAAGCTACGACAATCCAGAGTTTGTCGATCATCGCCGGTGAGAGCTCGCTCGGTGTGATCCTCGGTTGCTAGGCTTTGCTTTTCCGCCGACTTTCCCTTCCTGTAGTATCGAAAGCAACAAACGGGAGCTCGTCGTTGTGGAAGGTAACTTTCTCCATTTCACGCTTCTCCGGCCAAATCCAGTAAATAAAAAAAGGTCAGCTACCTGCTCTCCCCTTTTCGCCGGCAATGGGTTCCTCACGCGAACGAATGGAAGGCGACGGGCGCTGACGGAGCTTAAACGAAGTGGTATAATAGAAGGAAATAAAGAATTTAGGTGGTATATCAGTAAATACAAAACTTTGGGTGTTAGATATGTATTTTCAATAGTTTTAGGTGTTATGTATGTAAAAATCCCTATTATTTAATAAGATATAAGAATACTTGGTTGGTTATACATGAAATAAAGAGCATTATTATTCTACCCTCAAGGTGAAGTAAAAAAAGTAATCGTCTAAAGAAGAAATAAGCTCTTTAAAGGGGTAGAATCATAGAAGAATGCAACGTGACATAGTTGCGATGGACATGATGCAAAAGGCCATAATTGACTTATTTATATGGTCAAACACTCATCACTTTTATGCCAAATTTTAATTTTATAATAAACTTTTTTTAATTTATAATTTTAATTATAATTAAATACTTGTAATTTTTATAATATTATAAAGATTGAAATCCTAATTTAATGATCATTGAAGTTTTTGAAAATATTGATTTTAAATCTAAAAAAAAAAAGTATTTATAAGGAAAATATTGAACAATAATTGCGCGGCTTACCCGAACGACCGATTAAACTGCCCTCTTCTGTATCTGTGCTTTGATCGGCTATATTTCTACATGGATCGATGACGTGGCCCTAAGAAATTGAAATTCCCGCCCAAAATTTTGCACAATAATCCCAATTCAATTTACCTATGCGCCCCTGCGCCTTCTTTCTTAAACTCCTACTAGTGCTGTGATCGGTTACTCTTCACGTCTCCCTACTCTCGCTCTTCCGAAACCCTAATCCTAAACTCTGGTAATACCAAGCCTCTGCAACCCATGCGTTTGAACGATTTCCCTCTGATTTCTCATTCTATTGTATTCATTATTGCAGTTTCTACAATGAAGGAAGTACGCCCGACGTCTGGTAATGCGCGCAAGTCCGATGGCCGGTGAGTAGAGTTCGATTTCCTTCTTCTTCTTCTTGTGCATTCATTTAGAATGGGGTGGATCGCCTTAGATGTATTGCCTAGGAATCTAATGATGTATTTATTTGAAGTCTTGCGGCAAAGAAGGCCCCGGAGAAGCGGAAAACGGGGAGCCGCAAAGCGAAAGATCCTAACAAGCCGAAGCGCCCTCCTAGCGCGTTTTTCGTTTTCATGTAAGCGAATACTCTCATTTGCCCCATCGATTTTGCTTTCCAATTATCTCCATCTTCGACTTCAATTTTTTTTTCTTATATCATGAAGGGATCAATTCCGGAAGGAGTTCAAGGAGAAGAACCCTGAAAACAAACTCGTCTCAGTGGTTCGTATCTGCAATTTACGTTCGCAAATCATAGGTATTGTACGATTTAAAGTCAATTTGCTCTGTATGATTAACTGGTTTTATTTGATATTAGGTTGGAAAGGCTGGTGGCAATAAATGGAAATCTATGTCCGATGCTGTGAGCTTTTTTCATTTCAATGGATTAATTCCATTATGTTGATTAGTTGTTGTGGAATTTTCTAATTTCTCCTGAATTTAGGAGAAAGCACCGTATGTGGCCAAAGCTGGTAAACTGAAGGACGAGTATCTGAAGAAGATCCGTTTTTACGATGGCTCGGTGATTATTTTATTAAATCAAACATAAATAATTTTAATAGTCTTACTCTTTTTAATTGATTATCCAATCTATAACCGATCGCAGGATGTAGAAAAAAAGAACGCTGCTGAGGATGAATCATCAGATAAATCCAAGTCTGAGGTTAGCGAAGAAGGGGCTGAAAGTGATGGGGTGCGTTTCATTACTACAATATTAAATTACCAATATTTAAATTTGTTTAGGGATTTCCATTGCAAAAATTTATAGAACTCTATCTTCACTATCTTTCATACTTTTAATCGTTTATTTTTTAATGAAAAATTTTGTAGGAGGAAGAAGACGATTAGGTTTCTAAGCTGTGGAACTTACTGAGGTGATTGTGAGAATCTTGGACATAGGAATTGATATAATATAGAAATGGAAATATATCCACTTATGTTTTTTTTTGTCTTTATGTTGTTCTCTGTTTTAGTGTTTTGGATGTTCAGTGTAGTTTTAAGTGGCAGGACATAGCTGTGAAATCTGTCTTCACTGTTGCTATCAAAAATACATTGTTTGGTTTATTCTGGTTAGTAATACATTCTCTATTAATTGTTGTTATTTTGGTATTCATGTTTGTTATATTTAGGTTTCATTTGGGTCAGTAATTCTAATTGTTTTTTATATCTATTTTTTAAAAGAAATAAAAAAGTAGTGGTAAAAATTGCCTTAATAGAAGCATTTCTTATGACATCTTCAATATAAAAACTCAATTTTCATTTCAAGATACAGTAATGCATCAAAATGTAGTAATTTGTCTTAAATCTAATTTCATTTTCTAGCATAAAAAAGAATATTTCTTGTATATATATTTTTTAATACTTTATTTTAACATGGGTTTTAATTTTTTTTTTTTAAATTAAAGTGGGTGAATATTGAGATTTTAATATTGGCATTGCATTGTTTACTTGTATCATTTTAGTATTCTTTTGGCTTTTTGTTGGAGTAATTGAGTGATGCTATATGGTCATTTGAAGTTCATTTGGAGAAGCTCTTAGGGCATCTCCACTTGAAAAACTCATTTGGTTTGCAGCTTATGATAAAATATGGGTGTGAATTAAGTTAGATTTGATTCTATAAATGATTTATGAGTTGGGTTTAATGTGCTAATGATATGCTTTGGTTTGCATTGACTTCACTTTTTAGTTTAGGAGTTAGTTTATTTAAAAATATTAATATAAGTACATTTTAAGTATTTTAAATGTATGTTAATTATTAAAATATGTTAGTATTTTGAAATTATAAAAAAGCATTTTAAAAATATATTTTACATTTTTTACATTAAATCAGTATTTATTATTATTTTTATTTTTTAATGATTTTATTTTAATAATCATTTGAATTATTGTTTTTTCTGTTTTATAATGAACAAATTGATATATAAGATGATTTGAATTTATAAATAAAGCTTGATATTGTGCTTGAACTTAATTAATTAATAAAATTTAAGATTAAGCAATGAATGACTCGATGTTGACTTGACTTATTTCCACCTTTAAAACAAGTAACTGTAATTGCTTTCAAAAGTTCATCTTTAATACTACAGTACTATGCACTTTTAAACACGTGACAATAAAGCATAGCTTATAATCTAAATTTGGTACCACAGGCCAACCATTAGTACCTTAATCAATCAGGATGTTTGAATGTTGTGAAAATCGGACCGGACAATGAACCGGAAGAAGGAGAGGTTCATGGGTTGACCGGTTTGACCGGTCAACTTGGGGTTGAACTGGATGACGTAATAATTAATTAATAATAATATCAATATATTATTAAAAATTCAGTTGGAATTATATTGCTACAAGCTTCAACAATCAATTGATGAATTTCAAGAGAAGCATGTTCATGAAGTAAGTGTGTAGTATATTCATGCTTGTGTTATCACTGCTAAAGTTAGCTTTGATGATAATTAATGTATATTCTTCCCAGGCTTGCAATATTTAACTGTTACCACTTACTAGCATTCTGCTAGTTCATAAATGTATATATATCTATATATGAAGTTCAAAAGGATGTAAATCTCAAGATAAATTCTACAAAAGTATTATGCATAGAAATTTATTGAGTTGTTTCATATGAAGAATAAATCATATGAACTTAACTTACTAAAAGGCCAAATCTCTTTAATAATAATATGCCTTTGCATTCAAATACCGATATCTAGTAGATCATACAACAACTTTAGCAATGCGTGCAGTGCACAAGTAGCACGTTATGAGTAGTAGAGCACTTTGATATTTTATGTTTATGAAAATACCTTGAGGAATATCTTGAGAAATAAAAGGAGGTTGACCCACATTTGCTCTTTGTGAATATCTTCTGTTTTGAAACCAATTCCAAATCTATAAACTTCAAAGTAAATAAGGTTTGCGAGGTTCCTCTTTTAAAAAGAAAAAAATACAAGAAATGCCTCTTTTAAAAACATAGAGTTTTACCTGTATATGAAAATTTCATTTCCTTCTTCAACTTTGAGTTGAGACCCAAACAACACTAATTTTTCATCAGCATTTTCACTGTAAATAGCTTCAAGAATGGCAAGTCCGACAGGCCTGGAGTCTACTGTGATCTTCTCCTAGGAGAAAGAAGAGCCATTTTTTAAACAACAGGTGTTTGTTTTCTGTTTGAGAATAAGGGATTCCCAATTGTGAAGATGGGCTTGAAGTTTAAATTGGAATTTGGCCTAGTAACAGCAGCCTGAGAATCTGAGAAGACTGTAGGAGAGAAGCTCGAAAAGGGATTAATGGATGGAAACATGGAAATATAATGGAACATGATCAAACAAAATCTATAGTCAAATCTTGTTTATAATGATCAAACAATGATAACAGAAATAAGAAATCTGGCATCTAAATGATAATAGAATTGCCAGATCAATAGGCACAAAAGACACATTAAATAATCTTCTTTTACAAAAAGTTATTCTAGGAGAGCTAATACAAAATATAATGGATCATGATCAAACAAAACCTATAGTCAAACCTTGTTTATAATGAAAACCTAAAACCCAGAACACTCCTACTAAATCTAATAATCATCATCAAAATTTGTGAGATCAAATGATGGATTCCCAAATCCCTCTTCACCAAAATCTTGCATCCCAAATGCTTATGCTTCCTCACATGGTATGTTATCTTCATCACATGTATTAGATAAGTTGTATTCATCTGTAAATCATTAATGTGAAATAATAAGTTTATATTTTATAGTACACTCAAACTTAATTTACAATCTTACTTGGGGTTTGTCCATTTGATGTTTTGTTTGGTTCTATATCTATAGGAATTGCATCATCTTTATAAATTTATGTCTCCAAGTCTTCTACATGCAATTTTGGAGTTGGCTCATCATCAAGGATCCAAAAGTCAATAAGTTCAATACTTGTGTAGTCCAAAGGATCATAACTTCTTTTTCTAGACTGTAACTTACAAAATTGTTATAAAAAAATTGATAAAAAAAAATACATCATCATTTAAAAAGATATTTAAAATGTTCTCAAATAATACCTATTTTTTAAATTGAGGTTGTAACGAACATATACTAGATCATTCAGCCTTTGGTGCTCAAGATGATTTCGCCTTTTTGTATGATTCTGCTCAAACACACTCCAGTTCCTCTCACAACTTGATGAGGATGATGTCTGACTAAGAATTCTAATAGCAATTTTCTGTAGGTTTGGTGCACTATAGCTGACGTCTTCCACCATTCATCTATAATAAACATGTTATGTAATGGTTTATTCAAATAATTTTATTGTAAATAAAAGCATCATAATTCACATAAATATTAAAATAAAATCTCAAAATTTTGTCATCTTACCAGGTTGCATTTCTTTTGCCAATGTTAATGCAATTGGCTTCCCAAAACTTTCCAAATTATCACAAAATAGCCTCAACTCATTCATTGCCAAAGTTGATTTAGCACAAATATCTTTATTGCCAATTAATTTTATTAGACCTTGCAAAACTCCAGGCTTGTTGCAGAAATTTTCTCTATCATACTGAAACTGAGTGTTAAAAAAATAAGCTGCTGAATGTATCCCTTGTCTCAATTGATTATCTCATCTTCTCTTAATGATACTAGTGAAGGGATTGTACATTCTTTTGTTGTTTCTAAACATGGCCTTCATTGTTTTTTTTAACTCTGTACATACCATCATAAAGGTACCCAAGAGATGGCTTTTCATCTGCATCAACAATTCTTAACAACCTAATTAAAGGTCCTGATAATTTAGAAATTATTAAACTATCATTCCAGAACCTTGCATCCAAAATAATTGAGGCTGCCTCTTTCCCCTTCATTGTCTTACATAACTTTGAATCAGTGTAAGTCTTACTGGTGATGAATGCTTGTAAATCACATTTATGATCATGAACACTTCGTAAGGTGATGAATGTTGTTGCAAATCTAGTTACTCCTGGCCTTACAATTTCTGTCCAGCCTTCTCTTTTTCTTAACCATACTAATATGAAAGCATGATTATAAACAAAAATTGTAATCTTCGATGCTTTCCTTGCAAGTTCTGAGATGTAAGGCATGCTTCCTATATCCTTCAGAATAAGATTTATGCAATGCGCAGCACAAGGTGACCAATATATATTTCCAAAATTTTCATGCAATAGCTCACCAGCTTTCTTATAGTTTGCTGCATTATCAGTCACAAAATGAACTATGTTTTTTTGACCAACCCATTCAACAATATCAGTGAATAGTGCACATAATGTTGTTGCGTCTTTAACAACATCAGAAGCATCTGATTTCAAAAATGAAACTCCACGAGGACAATAAATAAGAAAATTTATTAATGTTCGACTTCTTGTATCTGTCCAACCATCAGCCATCAAAGTACAACCAATTTCTTTTCATGTTCTTCTATAAGAGTCAACTAACAACTTGCATTCATCCTTAGAATCTCATAGTAGGTTCACCCTCAATCTATAGTAAGAAGGTAATTTATAACCAGGGCCTATTGCAGCAATTGCATCAATAGCCCTTTGTGCATAAGGTGAATTTATAGCTTTGAATGGAATGCAGCTGTCATAAAACCACATAGAAACTACCAAATTAGCAGAATGTACTGCATCCTTAGAATCCATTACACTTTTGAGGGATGGCTGAGATCCTGGTTTTGTTCTATGTGCAAAAAAATTATCATCTTCATTAATTTTTCTCTTTCCTTTATCAATGCCTTTACCATGTGTATCAAAAGTTTGCAATTTTATGATTGAACATGAGCCGCTCTCTTCCTCAACTGGATCGTCACTAAATAGATCAACAGTCTGGGGTAGGTCTTTTTGTGCTAGTTGTTTTCTCTTTGTTATTTAAGTCAAATTTTGTTGCATCTGATATCGGATGTCATGTGGCACATTCTTATAAGAAGCAATGTTACCTTTAACTCCCGCTAAATGCTGCTTCATCCTATTAATGCCTCCACCCTTATAAATTATTCCACAATGAAGAC